GAACGGAATCAATAAACAACGTTAATTTTTTATAGGAAAAAAAGCTAAAAAAATACCTCAACTATTTAATTTTACCAGAAACCCACACAAACTTTTTACATTTCAAGAAATCCACACAGACTATTTTTTTTATCTATAAAAATACCTAAACTCTTTAAAGTTTCATTTTCCCTCCTCAGATTTCACGGTCATTATAGACATAACATAATCAAAAAACTGCGTTAGTTTTCCATAACACGTGCTAATTGTTGTCGGATTAATACCATTATTACCTTTAAAAATATTTAAATTCTAATTTTTTCTCACTATTTCAGGAATAGAGTAAAATCGGTTGAAAATGTGGTTAGTAGAGCAATAAATCATGATGTTCAGAACATATACATCATCTTCTCTAATTGCTCTTATTAGTTTTATATATCACGACACGCACGGTTTCTAACTCGATTTAGACTATCAACCATGTTTTTTAACCAATTTCACTCAATTTCTAAAAGAGAGAAAAGAAATTAGGGTTTAGGTTTTTCCTCTCCAAATCGATTTGGAAATTTTCTAAAGGTAACAGTGGTATCAATACATGAGTAATTAGCACGTGTTACGAAAAACTAACATAACGACCATAAAACTTGAGGAGGGAAAATGGAACTTTAAAAAGTTTGAGTATTTTTATGGATCGAAAAATAGTTTGTGTAGATTTTTGGCAACGCAACAAATTTGGGTGGGTTTTTGGCAAAATTAAATAATTAAGGTATTTTTCTTACAAAATTTAACGTTGTTTATTGATTTCGTTAAATCAGTTAACAGCCGTGAAATCAGAACGGGTAAAATGGAACTTTAAAAAATTAATGTATTTTTATGAATAAAAAAATAGTTTGTGTAGATTTCTAGCTTAACTAAAAATTTGTGTATATTTCTTTCAAAAATTAAATAGTCGAAGTATTTTTGGCATTTTTTCCGATAATTATTATCCAACACTTAACAACTACAATCACCCGGAGAAGATTACTTGGGTTTCAGTTTGGATTAGTGCGTGAGAAAACTGAATGATTTTTTTTTTTTAATTATTTTCTTCTGAACATAAACCAGTTCCATCACGGGTAGGCCGAACCGAACCGGCGGGTAAAACCAATTTTGATAGTACAGTATCTTTAAAAGAAAGTGGTCAAAGTCAAAACCACGGTGGCCTTACTCCATTTGTATTCATTTTGCCCGATTTTGTCTTCAATCCAAATTTCCCTTCAATTTGCTTTCTTGGATTCTTTTTTTCCCATAAAAGTTATATATTTTCTTGTCTTTTCTTACTCAAAGATTTTGTTTTTCCCAGTTTTCTCCATTTTGTTCTATTCGTCTCTACAAACTAACTGCTTCTTCTCTGCGCTTTTACTCGAACTTTGGTTTACCTCGAAAATCCGTCCCGCTTTCTTCTCCTTCAGGGCGGAAAGTTTCAGTCTTTACGATTTTACCAGTTAAAGGTTTGTCGCTCTCTGTTTTCTTCACTCTCCTCGGAAATCAAAGAAAAACTAAATCTTTTTCTTTCAATGGCGTCAAGAGAAGTATCTGCGATAATGAAACAAGGGTTTATCTCTAACCCTTCTCTCTCTCCTTCAAGAACCACGGCTCTCTCCAAACCCTCATCCCCCAAACCTCCTCCTCCTCGTCCTCCAAACGATTCCACTCGCCTGAGTCACTCCCTTCTCGATATGATCTCCGATGAGCAAAACTGCGAGACGAGGAGAGTACAAGAGGAGCCTCGGAGGAAATACCACGCGCGCGTGGCCAAGATCTTGACGGACTTCAAGAACAGCGTCGAGCCTGGCGACGTGAAGCTGAGTTTGGTGGGCAGAAGCGGATATGCAGTGACCATGGATGTGCACAAGAAGGTCTTATCAGAGAAGAGCAGTTTTTTCATGGATAGGATTAAGTCTCAGTCTGAGTCTCACACGGTGGAGATTAGTGAGTGCGATGATGTTGAGGTCTTTGTAGAGACTGTGGTATTGATGCATTGTGAGGATCTCAAGAACAAATTGATTGGTGAAAATGTTTTCAAGGTCTTGGCTTTGCTCAAGGTACAATTGCAACTGATTCCTCCTCTTATATTGTGAATTTGATTCTTGTGGATAGAGTTAAGGCCAGAATGATCAGGATAGAGTAGAAACCGTTTCTCGTTGTAGATTATAATCGATGTCTCTTTGAATCACTCTAGTGTTCTTGATCTGTTTATTGCAAGGGAAGTGGAACTTTGTGGACTAATTTACTCACAGCAACACTTTTTGATGCATCTTTTGTGTGTGTGTGTGTGTGTGTATGTGTGTTATCCAGTAGTGTTATTCACAGCGTCAAGTTATCTGCCCTAATTGTTCTTGACATTTCCCGTATGTATGGCTGGCCAAATCTGAGAGCTTTTATAAACAGTGTTCTTGATCAGTTTACTGCAAGGAAAGTGGAACTTTGTGGACTAAGTACTCACATACAACACTGTTTCTGCTGCATCTTATGTGTGTATGTCTTTAGTAGTTATTATTTTACTCATCATTCGATACATCATTCGAATTGCGGCAAGTGATCGGCTCTGATTGTTCTTGCCAAATCTGAGAGCTTTTAATGTCTACATTGGCTTCTCAAATTTTTTTGCTTTTTGTGATGGTTTCAATGTTTTATTATTTGACAGGTTTCTTCAGCTATAACGTTTGAAGAGGGAATAAAGTCATGCTTGGAGTACTTAGAGGCGGTTCCTTGGTCAGAAGACGAGGAAGAATCCGTTGTGTCTTGTATTGAAAAACTTGATCTTCCTGGTTCGATGGTCAATTCTGTTCTGCAGAGAGTATCATCTTCTGAGCCTTTCACTTCCACAAGTATAACCAACGACATCTTCTTGAAACTCCTTACTGGTAGTCTCCAAGCTAAAGACGACAAAGCACGCCGAGAAATGAAATCTGTCATCTTTAGGCTGATTAGAGAAGAAGCTGATCATGATGTGTCTAAAGATTCACTTTACAGTCTGTGTCACAGATGTCTCCTCTCTTCTTATCCTTTGCTTGTCCGAGATTACCTCCAATATGATTAATCCCGGTGATTTGATTGGTGAAACTGCTAGAGAAGCCAGTAACTTGCTTTGGGATATACTAATCGAAAAGAACATCTGCGACGAGTTTGTGCAGTTATGGGCGGATCAGAAGGAGCTAGCGAATCTCCATTCCAAGATTCTGCGATGTACAGATATGAAATAAGCAAGATCACTGCTCAAATATGTGTTGGAGTTGGTAAAGGGAAGATCGTGGTTAAGAGGGAGACTCGGTTTTCGGTTCTGAAGACATGGTTAGAGGCGATGTACGATGATTTTGTGTGGATGAGAAGAGCATCGTCGAGATCAATGGACTGGAAAGTGGTCGAGGATGGACTTAGCAAGATGATACTGACATTGTCGCTGAGACAGCAACAGGTGATTCTGATGAAGTGGTTTGATCGGTTTATGAGCAAAGGAGATGAATGTCCAAACGTTGAAAGAGCATTTGAGGTTTGGTGGAGAAGAGCTTTCATAAGACAGGTCATCGTTGAGCCACGTGATGCATCTCAGGTTCAGATTACACTATATTGAGAAGCCCACAATAATGTCTTTTAATTATTTTTTTTTTGTTAACCAAGGCTTTACAAGTTTACATTTTTATACACAGAAACATCAATGTAAATGTTAAATATATACAAGTACAATTTCTAAGGTTTGTGAATTAGTCGCATTACACACTAACAATACATTGTTCCTGAAATAGAAACTTGGATCATGGTTGATTTTGCCACTGTAAACTAAATTATGAAAAAGAAATCAACAGGACTTAAATATCAATTAGACCAGTTCTAGAAAAATCATATACAGCAAGTGAAGAAAACAAAATTGTTAAAAACAATTGAATGAACAAAGATCTACCACCGATTAGATTGAGATAAAACATCATTAGTTTCTAGCTAATCTATCATCTTGTGAGGATCTCTTTCCAAGCATTTGCGCAAAAGTTTAGTATATGAGGAATGAAATTGCTGTAACCAATAAGATTAATCCAATCATCAAAACCAAGATCACCATGTTCTCCTCAATCTATATCTCCGGTAAACATCTCCAAATAAGATGGATGTTGTGTTTTAATTATGAGGTTACCATTGACTATGATTAGAGAAAAAAGAAGAAGAAGAAGAAGATTATGGTTAACAGAATTATTTTGTGTCTATTTAAATTTAGTCTGTCAATTGCTTGTGATTATGCTACGATTAGAGGGAAAAAATATTATATATGTGTATCCAGCGAACTAATCGAAAAGAAGTTATGTGAGGAGTTTGTGCAACTATGGGCAGAACCTAGCGAATCTCCATTTCTATATCACTTCACAAATCAGCATTGGAATTGGTAGAGGAAAGATCTTGGTTAAGAGGGAGACTCTGTTTTCTGTTCTGAAGACATGGTTAATGATTTTTGGTGGATGAGAAGGGCATCAACGAGATCAATGGACTCGAAAGTGGTACTTAATTAGCTAGATGATACTGATATTTTCGTTGAGACAGCAACAGGTGATTCTGATGAAGTGGTTAGATCGGTTTATGAGCAAAGGAGACGAATGTTCAAACGTTGAAAGAGCATTTGAGGTTTGGTCATGGTTGAGCCACCTGATGCGTAGATTACACTTTATTGAGAGTCCCACAATGGCTTTACATTTTGATTATTTCTGTCACCAAAGGCTTTACAATTTTGTACACAGTTGTGTATAGAATTTTTGTTACTGAAACAGAGAACTTGGATCATGGTTGATTTTGCAACTGTAAACTAATAATGAAACAGATCAAACATGTATCAAATATCAATTACAAGACTTTTAACAATTCTACAAAATACCATATACAGAAAGGGAAAGAAACCAAAATCGTTCAAAACAAATGAAAGAACAAAGATCTAAAACTGATTAAATTGACATAAAACATCATTAGTTCATTAGTTTTTAGCTCCTTTATCATCTTCCTCAAAGCATAGCAAACGGATGGTTGGTGAGTGAATGGCTAGACCATCTCTTGAGAACGTCTCTTTCCAAGCATCTGCTCAAAAAGTCTTGTGCCTCTTCAGATAACCAATTCGGTATATGAGGAGTAAAACCGGTATAACCGATGAGATTGACCCAATCAGCAGAACCAAGATCACCATATTCTCCCCAAACACTTTCTCCGGTTAACATCTCCAAAACCGAACATCCAAGAGCCCACACATCAACTCCGAAATCCACAATCCCATGACTCATAAGCTCAGGAGCCATATACCTCGTCGTGCCTCTCCTATGACCGTATCCATTACCGTACTCTATCGACCCTTTCTCCATAGCTAATCCGAAATCCCCAATCTTGGTCAAATACCCGTTAGGCCTAAACCGGTGATCGGTAGGGCAGAGTAAGAGATTGTCCGGTTTAATGTCGCAATGAATGATGTTTCTGTCGTGAATGTAACTGAGACCAGACAAGACATCTCTAGCGAATAGCTTCACATCAGACTCAAATAACCTTCCGTGATTATCCTCGATCAAGTCTGCGATACATTGACCAGAGCAATACTCGAGTATCAGATTGTATTGTATATGAAGAGGATCATTCTCTTCTAGTGCGATCTCGTCGCCGTAGCAACGGAGGATGAAAGGAGATTGTAAACGGATTAGGATTCTTCTTTCGTCCATGAGGCTCGAAGCTCGTGAAAGCTCTGCACTTTTGATTGCCCTCTCTGTTTTGTGTTTATGGCTTTTACTTGTCGCTAAATAAACCGAAGCGTAAGCGCCTCTTCCAAGTAATTGAGTTTTGACCCACGACGACGACGACAAAACGCTTTTTTCTCCGTCGTGGGTTACGGCGGTGGAAGATTTCTGAACGGTGGTGTCGGATGATTGGGTAAGAAGTATCATCGTGTTGCTTAATGAATTTCTCCTTCTGTCTCTTTTTTTCTCTCTTTCTGTCTCTTAAAATCTCAGTAGTTTAATATTCAAGGATGAAACAAAGACAAGACCAAAGCAGGAGACAACCTTTTATAAGCTTTGTTGCAAAAAGTTTCCATTTTTTCGTCTTTGCGCAATGTTTAGTTTCATAAGAATTTCCTTTTTTTTTTTCAAAGTAAATATATCAGATAACTACGTTACTATTCATAATTAAGTAAATAGGAAAACACACTATTTAAACATCGTGTCTTTTTCAATATGACATTCTTACTCTCTAACTCTCTCTATCTCCCACGATCCACTGATTTCATCTCTTATATTTGTCTTTTTTTTTTCTCTTTTGTTCCCTGTAAAAAAAAACAGCTTCTCTTCTTCTTCTTCAATGTTACAATAAAACTCTAGAACATAATTCCCAATCTTGAAAGAAGTTGTTGTTTCAAGCTCCATTTGATTTCTTTTTCTTTTAACTTTCTCCTCGAATTTCACCAAAATCGCATTTAGGTATTCTCTGTTTCTTCTTCTTTTTACTGGGTTCTGAAATATGAGTTTTTACTGGTTTAATTTTGATTTCCACAAGAGAACTAATCAAATTGCTGATTTTATCTAATTTAAAGTTATTATTGTTTTGTCTCTTCTCTAAAATTTTGTATAAAAAATTCTATTTCTTCTCTGAAATTTTGGGTCTGAGATTGGGAAAGAGATTGTAGAAAGGCGGAGATCTCGATGAATATTGAGAAAGAGATGTTGAATATTGTTAATTATTGTTTTAGTGTAATATATAATTGAGAATTTGGCCAAAAGAATCCCAAACTTTCCACATTTTACACTCAACTTTTGTTAACTTTCATAAATAATAACAAATTTTTCGTTGACTTGCCAAATCAGCACACCGTTTATAAAGTTAACAGAAAATTTAAACGCCATTAACTCTGTTGTTACTGTTGGAGTTAACTCAAAACGATGTCGTTTTAAAATTCTGCAATTTAAAAAAAATTTGTTTCCACCTGGGTTCGAACTCACAACCTTCAAATGCATAAAAAATATTTCTGCCACTGGGCCAATAAGACTTTTAAACATATGGGTCATACATTTGTTTTTATTACTCACTTCGCCCGATATTTTTTAAAAATTCTCGAATTTAAAATTTTTGGTTTTCACCTGGGTTCTAACTCTTGATATAAGATACATAGAGGAGACTTCAACCACTGAGCCAATGACATTTTCGGACAAAAATGTCATACATTTGCTTTTTTTATTTTTGCCTGATTTTTTTTAAAGAAAAATTGCGATTTTAATTTTTTGTGCTTTGGGACAAAAAGGTCTAGCAAGATATATGGTTGTGCTTGATAACAGATTAAGATGGTTGTGCTTGATAACAAATTTCTTTTAAAAAAAAAACAGGCAGTAATAAAAGCAAATGTATGACCCTTTTGTCCGAAAGTGGTATTGGTTCAGTGGATAAAGTTTCCTCTATGTATCCTATATCAAGAGTTCGAAACCAGACAAAAACAAAAACTTTTAAATTGCGAAATTTTTTTAAAAAATCGGGCGAAGTGAGTAATAAAAACAAATGTATGATCTATATGTAGTTTGAACCCAGGTGAAAACAAATTTTTTTAAAATCGCAGACTTTTAAAACGACGTTGTTTTGAGTTTACCCCAAAGCAGAGTTAATGGCGTTAAAATTTTCTGTTAACTTCATAAACGGTGTGCTGATTTGGTAATTCAACGAAAAGTTTGAATTTATTTATGGAAGTAAACAAAAGTTGAGTGTTTATTTGGCTAGGCTGATAGTTCGTGCTTTTTTTTTGGCAAAATGCGGAAAATTTGGGATTTTTTTGGCCGAATTCTCATATATAATTTGTTAATATGTTAAATTTATTTGTATCGCGTTAAACAAATTAATATCATACCTTTATAATAATTTAGATAGCTGCCAATATCTAAGCTCTAAAACGTAGTTAGCTGCCAACATTGTAGCTCTAGCTAAGTATCAATGTATTGAAAAAACATAACATATTAGTGAATACAAATATTATGTTAGAGATGATAAATAAATTGTTAGCGGATAAAAATAGTATATTCGAAATGATAAATAAATTATTAGCAAATACAAATTTAATGTTAGCAAGATAATATAATTTTTACTGATGCAAATTTAGTGTTAGCAAGATAACATAATATTTACCATGCTAACAAAGTTTGTAGTATGTTAATAAGTTATGTAATTATATATAACTTATATGTTAACCCAAAAAAGATGATGAGAGATGGGAAAAAAAATTGTAGTAAAAGGAAGAGAGGGTAAAGAGTAATAACACACTTGAATAATGAAAAATACTTTAACAATAATGTCATATCAGTTTACTGTTTTTCCATTTTCCTAACTTTGACCAGATTTTAGAATTTCTAGCTAATTCTCTTTTTTTTTTATCCTTTACTAATATTGTCTAGGGTAAAAAAGATTTATTGTTAGAATAGATAAAGTTACGAGTCCGATAACTCTTGTTTTCAATAAAAAAATTACTGTAAAGAATACACATTACATAGTTCACAATTGTTGCTTCAATAAAAAATAAGTAAATGTAAACATTTCTTTTACTTTTGATATTAATAAACTTCTTATAAATTATACTTATAATCGAATTCGCATGCGTAAGTATTCAATTATTTAACCTACGTGGTTTGTGTTTAGGGGATTTTTGGTCCTCTTGTGAGGGCAAGTCTCCTGCAAAACCGTTAAACACATGAAGACTTAGATAACATGATGGGGCTATGATTTTCGAAGGCTCTCCGATGCTCAAGTCAGAAACCAACTAAAAAGACTACTAAGTGGCTAATCAGTGAGCAGAAATAGATCGGAAAACAAATGAAGGAAAGTGGGCTGAGAGCTCCTGAGAAAGGTGGAGTCAGCTCGAACTTTTCGAGGTGATGGGCTTTTTGAGGTGAAAAAAGAACAAAAGAAAAGTTTGCGGGTTGAAGTGATCCACGGTTTAGGGGCCACCATGGAGAAAAAGTGAAGAGATGATCGAAAAAGTAATCAGAAAGTATGAGATGCTAGGATTCAAGGATCACACATATCTAGAAAGATGATATAAACTTTGAGATAGCAAAAAGTGAGATCTCCTTCCTCGTTGGAAGGGATAAAGTATTTATAGGATTTTATCTGATCCAGATTAGTATACCGGGTTGACCCATGGACATCAGGTGGGTTGGTCCATGACCTGGCTTGACTGGGTTTGAATCTTAGGCTTGCGTCATGCCTCTGATGGCCTTAGCAACTTTCTTTGGCGTGTTCTGCCTGCCACGAGACTGATCCTTGGCGCATCCCTTTCATCCTCAATGTATGGTCCGGTTCAGCGGTTCAGGTACGTTATGGCCCTCGCTGATCCTCTGATTTTTCTTCTGGCTCCTACGAAAAGTCACTGTCACCTAACACGTGTAAGCAAGATGCATTAAATGCCAATCTCGTGGGTTTGTTAGGGTATGAGTGATCAAATCAGAGTAAGGCATATTCCAGTTGTCAAATAGAGGGAAATTTGAATAATGTTTTCCGCTTATGCATTTTCTCATACCTGAATCAGATCCCTCGATACTGAGATCAGGCTGCCGGGGTTGCTTGAACGGACGTGCTCTCCGGGTACATGTGCGGGTCATCCTCCCTTATATCCTGATCCTTCCAGATCACCGAGCTTGGGTCTAAGACATAGAGAAGGTGACATCTCCTCCTCCTGACCACTCAGTTCCCAACCTCCTTGTGCCTGACAGCGTGACCTACGTTGTCAGATACGAGGAACCCATGAGCAGGTGGCCTATCTTACCAGATTTCCCAAATCAAATTGGATTCAAGGTCCGTTGTTATATGATTAGGTCGTACTGGGCCGTAGATCCAATACGAGTCCTCATTTGGTCCAAAGAGTCGTTCCTGCAAAGAAATCATGAATGCCACATGTAAGCACGTGATTCATCAACGTAGAAAAAATCAAATTTATCTCCAACAATTTGCAATTCATAACCGACTATCAACAAAAAACCGCATGGCAAACTGGAATTCCGAAACTAATACATAATTGTGTGTTTGTGCAAGGATTCGATCGAGAAAAATTTAAAGATATATAAGCTAAGGTAGTGGTTTGTCATTAGATGATTCTTGGCATCCAAATCAACATATATGTATCAAGTTATATTGGCTAAATTCCATAAAAACCTCAAACTCTACAATGATGAAAAATGCGTAGTTAAAATACTTACAAGATCAAAGAATATTTTCTTGAACCAAATTAATTTGTTGAAATTATATGTTCAATTTGTGAATTTTGTTAAAACAATGCAAAAACACTTTCTAATCTTAACTCAAGTTTTAAACAAAAAAAACCTTTTAAATGACATAGCTTTTGCAACTATATCTTTAATGTTGAGAAAATACAGATAACCTTTAACCGTATTTGAATTTTATAAACCTTTAAAACCGTGTATTAGTTGTCAAAATATTTAAAACTATATCGTTTTTGAGCCATTCTTTTATAACACATAACGTATCCTTCTTTTCTTCATCCCCAACTCTAACAATAGCTCTTAAAGGTACGAAATTCACAGCATCCTTTTCTCTCGATACTATGTTCTCTTCATTTGCTTAGATGGTGCAATTAGGCTGGGAAAATTGATAGTTGTAGAAATAATTTCTTCCTTGATTTTCAGGAATTTTTTAGGTCTGGTTGATTAAAAAATGAGTGGAGATTTGATTTCTGAAATTTCAATAATACTGGTTTTGCAGCTAATAATTTCAACCGTGATAACTCTTTGCTGTATATTTGTAGTTTTTGCTTTTGGAGCTTTTAACAGAAAACAAAAATCTGCATTTGTACAGAACGCTATGTATATATGATCTCTTAACTTGTCTATCTAATACCATTGTGAATAAATGTTCTTAATTGGTTCGCATTGGATCTATTTGGCAATTACTAAACCAAAGCTTCTGATTTTTTAATATTGTGCTCTGCCTCCTTTGTTACTTATGATAATATCCATTTGCTTACTTCTAGAATAATTTTCAATATGTAGTTTCTTGTGATTGGAGTAATTATTCCTTATTCCTTTTCCCTGAAATTTGTTCAAGATATTAGTTCACTTAGAAGTTAATTAGGCTTAGTGGAAAATTTGGAGTCTCTTTTTCTAGATGACTCTTCTGCTATATAAAGTAGCTGTAAAATCTGGATTTGTAAAAAACAATATAGTATCTCTTAACTATCTATATATTAGAAAAAGGGAAAGAATTATTTTTAGTTAAGATTTGATCTATTTGGCAAGTACTAAACAGCATTGTGATCTGCTTCCTTAGTATTTTTTTTTTTTTTTGCATTCGGTTTGATTTGCTACCTCTAGAGTTATTTTCATATGGTAATCTATTGTGATTTATTTGAGTATATGTCTCTTGCATTTGGAGTAATTGTAGCTTATTATTTCTCCCTGAAACTTGTTATTAAAAGTAATAGGATCTCTTCACTAAAAGTTAAATTTTCAAAAAAAGATAAATTAAATAATTTCATTTTAAAATAATTTAATTTAAAATTAATAATTTAATTTAATTTAAAATATTTAAATAACATTAAGCTGAATAATAATAAGTGTATTTTGGTACTTTTATATTAAAATAATATATTTCAAATTTCTTACAATGTTTAGGATATTTATCAAAACTACCTTTTATTTTTTGGGTATATTTAGTTTTATAATAAAATTTTAATGTAATATATGTTAAGGCTTATGGGCTGACTTATTCTGATGGATTCCACTTTTTCGTACAATGTTTTGTTTTGTTTGATAATTTTTTTAGGTTATTTTTCTGTATATAAGACTCATGAACTCCCTAAACCTATGTCGTCGTTGCGGCACACCTTTTAGATCAAAAAATATTAAATTTTTAATTAAATTCTTGATTGTTTGTGTAAGATTTAATATGCATCAAATCAGAGATCTTGAAATTTATTTTAAAAGGCATGTACCATTGAAGAAAAACCAGGATTTTTTATAATCAGTCTAATTTTTTTTTTCTTCTTTTTTGGCTATATTAATTTTATAATAATTTTTTTAAAAGTAATATATGTTAAGGCTTATGGGTTGACTTATTCCGATGGATTTCACTTTTTTTCTAAACGGTGTCGTTTGTTTTGTTTGATAATTTTTAGGTTAATATTTTCAATACATAAGACTCATGAACTCCCTAAACCTATATGTCGTCGTTGCAGTGCACCTCTTAAATAAAAATTATAAATATTTTAATTAAATACTTAATTATTTGCGTAAGAGTTCGTATGCATGAAATCAGAGATTTCGAAGTTCTTTTTAAAAATTATATACCATTTAAAGAACAACTAATATTTTTATATTTAGTTTATTTAAAATATTTTTTAAAATATTCATATAATTTTTTTTTGTTTCTGTTTTTATGGATTTCATATGCATCAAATCATATTTATTTTAGAATAAAATTTTAAAATTAATATATGTTAAGACTTATAGGCTGACTTATTCTAATGGATTCTACTTTTCTGTACGGTATTGTTTGTTTTGTACGGTATTGTTTGTTCTCTTTGATAATTTTTAGGTTATTCTTGTCTATGTTTAAGATTTAGGAACTCCCTAAACCTATATGTCGTCGGTGCACTTAGATCAAAAATTATAAAAGTTTCGATTAAATTCTTCATTATTTGTGTATGTACTATTTGCTAAATTTCATCAATCAGAGAACTCAAAGGTCATTTTAAAGGTATGTACCATTTGAAAGCAACTAAGATTTTTATATTCAGTCTTTAAATAAATTTTAAAAATATTCATATAATTTGTTCTTGTTTCTGTTTTCTGTGAATTTTCTCCAACTAAAAGCTATTTATTTTCTTCTTTGCACATGTTTTAATTGAATTTGTTATTTTTTATTTGATTGTTATCAATTTATGATTAAATCCAAGAAATTTTCAAATAAAAATAAATAAATATAGATAGTTAAAAATTAATTATCCAAAAATGAAAATATGATGAAAAAAGAAGAAAAAACTAGACGAGAACTTGTTGCTTCAGAAGTCTCATACACCTCCGAAGAAAATTGGAGGCAGTTGTGGCCAAATAGAAATAAGATGGAATGGTGAAATAAGTCTTATACTACTCCGAAATACATTTTAGAAATGGTGTGACCATTCGAAAATGTACTCACATAATATATTCTAAAAAAGCTCTCCAGACGAGTCTCTCTATCAACAAGCCCTCGTTGGAGGAAAAATGGTGGCTGTAGGTGGTCCTGTCATCTTGGAAGTTGATGAAACACCGGTCATCTACTTTGTGGAGTACATGTTGAAGGTCAGATCACTTCAAAATGTATTTTGGAGTATAATAATACTACTGAATGAGTAAAGTAAACCTTGTTTATGAGAGAGCAGTGTATGACTACAAGAATAAAGAACTATTATAATTTTAGCTCAAGACTCTATTTTACTTGTAATTTTAACTATGCAATAGATTTGATAACTATATAACTACTTATTTTTTTCAAAATTATATAAACATTTGGGAAAACAATTGATTTTTGATTACTCAAATTAATTTATTAATTTCTGGAATTTTTGATCTATAAAAACAAGATTTCTAACTTAAGTATAATGTATATTCAGATTTATTACCCAGTGTGATCTTATAATTTGACAATTACAGGACAAGCTGGACACAAAATACCCTAAACTACATTTTCATCGTCTATAAAATATCTACTATATTTATATCTTTAGACTACTATAATGTTAAGTTATCAAAAAATACTCTTCAAAACGGCTATTTTAAGTTTCTATCTAGATACAATATGTAAATTCAAAACATTAGATTTTTAACTATAAACTTAAGAAAATAATCTTTATAATGCTTTAGTTTGTGGTCACTTTACAAGTCAAAATAACTCACATTCAAAGTCTCCAATAAAAAAACTAATTCTAAAAATATATTAAAAAGAAACTTTGACCCATTTACTAAACCAAATCTTAGATATTATCACAAATATCTACAAATATGTTTTTTTTAACATTAATGTACAATTTTTACTAATGCCATCCTGTTTATATAAGTTACTAAGATATAAAATCTTATTAAATTGATTCATAACTTTATTAGTTGTAATTTTTATTTTTATTTTTATTTTACTTTCTATAAGTAAATAATAATATCTATAGTAAAGGAGACATATCTTTGTATCCATCCATTACTATAGAACACAACTCATCCATAAATTTAGTACACAAATAACTAAAAACAAACAAACAGACAAAAAAAGTTTTTTTTTTAAAAAAGTCCATCATGACGAAGAAGAAGGTGAAGGAACTCTCGACATTCTGTGGTGTCACTGCCTGTGCCATCATATACAGTGCCTATAACACCAATCAAGATGTGTGGCCATCGAATTTTGGTATGCAAAGGATAGTTTCGGATTTCCGGACATTGCCAGAGATGGACCAACACAAAAAATGGTGGACCAAGAGACCTTTCTCAGACAGATGATCGTAAAATTTTCTGAGAATCTGAGGAGACTGGGGAAGAATAACAGGGAGCAAGAGATGACTGAAGTCATGTTCCAATGTTGGGATGGCAGTCTGGAGAGGTTTCATCTCAATATTTTGGAT